GGAGGAGTGTACGATGAAAAACTTAAAAGTATTGGATACGATATTGAAACCAAATTGCGAGCTGGATTTATTTTGAATAAGCAATCTGCCATTCAAAACAATCAAAACAATCAATCTCATACTTTGAAAACAAGTCGATCGATGGAATTTGGTGCTTTTTTGACAAGATCCAATAGTCAAGGAGCGTGTAAATAAAATGTGTGTGTTGCATCGAAGCCATCGATTCTTAGTTCAAAAGATATTCTGGATAGACTAAAATTGTACAATACTAAAAAAGGTCATGACGTCTTGAAATTTCTCATCAACAATGAGACAAATTTATTTCCAAGAATCTTGTACAACTGTGATTCACAACGTGAATATCGAGGAAGATTGAGTGAATTGGAAACCGTGTGAAATTAAGTCGTTCACGCAAGGCAACATGGCTGTGTGGCTGTTTTGTTGATGACAGCTGGCACTTGTCATGGATGCGCTCTGATTCAAAAGTTCTCGAACAGAGGGCAGTAATTTGAGTTCTTCTTGAAGCAACTGGTTTTGTTGCATCGAGTGATGTTGGTAATTGACATTCGAAGGGGATGGCTGTCGATTGTCAATTTTGAAAGAATTGACAAAATTTGAGTAGTCAGGAACGTAATTGAGAGGAGCAGTGGAGACAGTAGAAGTCGAGAGAGTTTGTGGTTTCTGTAGTTGGGTTGAGTTTTCCTGGCTCACAGGAGAAGAAAAGTTGACATTTGGCAGATTGACATTTGTAAGAGGAGGTGGACTTCTTCTTCGACCTTTCATCGATGAAGAGGGTTCTCTATTTCTCTTCACAATCAATTTACCTCGCGTATCTGTTTGACATGTCTGAACGTAGAATAAACATTCTCTTGTTGTATTGCCAGCTGTCAAATTTCCTTTCGAAGTATCCTTTACGTTTGACTTTTGCAAAGGAGAAGAAGAAGACGACGAAACCACTGATGTTGTTGTGCTCGATGTAGGAGAAGCGTATTGAAACTGGTCTTTTTTCTTTTTTCGGATGCCTTCGATTGGTGAAGACATGACGTTTGGCAGGGATGATTTAAAGTTGAACATGTATGGTTGAGCATTTGATGAGGGAGTATTCATCGAAGGCGTCATGTTGGATGAATGGAATTTGTATGTGATTCTCTTCGTGGTTGAATGAGAAGAAGGTTGGACGTGATCCATCTGTGTTGATGACATTTGGCAGCTGTTATTGTTGTTGTTAGGTGTTTTTTTTGTGCTTGTTTCTACCTTGGACGAAATGACCTTTCTCTTAAAGGAAAACTCAACTTCATGGTAGGTATTTCTAGGTGCCCGAAATTGTTTCAAGAAAAAACCACTTTTATTTCACAATTCCAAAAGCAGACTCCTAAAAAATACCATAAAAGGATTAAACGTATTATTTGTGGAATTTTATGGCAAGAAATCAAAAAAAATTAAAGAAAAAGAGATTTACTCCTTTTATACTAGTTTCAAAAAGTGACCATCAAAATCCATAGGCCTCATTTATTAATGACGAGTTCTCCTTTTCAATGATGTCGGATGAACTGGAGAGTTTTAAAGTCATTTACTCTAATTTTGATTAGTATACTCTAAGGAATGGGATAAATAGGATGATTGAGCGAAAGTAGTTGCACCTAAAAAGTTATTCAGGATTTTTGATACATGGTATTTTGGATCAAGGTTTGGATACATCATTGACAAGTGGCACTAATCGATGCAAAAACCAAAAAGAAAGAAAAGCTCAAAAGGTCATGTTGAAACAAAGCGAGGTTCGTTCCTAAAGCTGACAAGGACGAGTTCAAGATGATTACTTGTTATCGTAAAGCGACAGCACAACGCTTTCGTGGAATTGACCTTCTTGATCTGAAATACTTTGAGGATGATAAAACTTTTACCCATTCTCCCAACACGGTACTATTTCGTGAAATACTTGTAAGTTTTACGGTGAAAGGATTCTCTACTACAAGGTTCATGATGCACAATTTCGATTGTATATATATGGATTTTATAATAAAAGTTTAAAGTTTTTGAGAGATGTTCGTTCAACTGTTGAGTTTGAAAAGACTATCTGGATTTGAACGATTCCAATGATGTTTATGTTGTTTTCCAATTAAAAAACATGAACGCAGGAGAAAATGAGAAAGGGCTGGTTTCGATCCAGCGACCCAGAGTTCAACAGCAGGAGTGTCTGTGCTCTCCCAACTGAGCTACCTTTCCCAAAGATTATATTTTAAGCATTTTGGAGTTCATTGCAGTGATGATCAATCAACAATAATTATCATTGGATTCAGTTTTCTTGATTATGGAATTTCTTCCATTGTCTGATATTCATCAAATGTTACTTGTTTGTAAATCATGGAATCATCTTGAAAAATTTGAAATTTTCTGGAAACAAACTTTCTCCTTATTTGAACAGTCTTGAAAGAAAATATGAAATGTTGAAAAGTTCTCCTTCCAAGCGTCATACCGTTGTTTATAACACATTGATTGGACAATTAAAGAAATTTTATGAATTACACATCATCAAAGAAAGAGCTGTGAATCGAGAAAATTCATTCTAAGTCTGAGCGTAATCCCTATTTACTTGGAATTTACAAGCTTTTACATTAAGGATTTACAGGATCATATTGAGAGCGATTAATTCTACCTCTTCAAAACTCCTACAGTGATAGTATCATTAATAATATGATTGGTAAACGCTTCGACATGTTGTTCGGTCAATTCTGGCGGGAATTTTTCACCTTAATGCTCCTCAACAATAATAATCGTTGAGTTTTTTACAAACCACATGGTAAGGGTTATTACAAGATTTTAAATCATGTACCTATGAACAGATTCCTTGTATGGGTGAGCAAGCCAAGCAATCTCTTTGATCAGCAAATACAATCTCTTACACTCTTCAGTGTGCCGGATGTGGAGGGCAGCAGATTGCTGTTTGGTGCTTGCTCGAGTGGCTGCCTGAAACATCCTTTTTATTATTTCCGTTGGATGTTTTCTATTTTATTGACGAAGAGGTTGATAAATTCATGGATCCAAAACCATTCCACATTGGGAATGAAATCTCAAAAATCTTTCACAAATTCTCTTTCATCGCACATTTTAAAAAAATGAGAGATTCCAGAAATCGAATCACTTTACTCCCGCATCAACAACGAGAAGGTTTCTCCTTTGATGATCTCATCAATGAGAGTGAAGATTATTATGCAAAATTTGGGTTAGCACGAGGGTCTTCTCAAAATAATAACACGATGGATGATACTGCCAGTGAATCCTCTCATTTGATGGAACGAAATCAATCTCGACAATTATCAAGACGGAAACGATGGTTCCGAAAATTGATCGGTTTCATTATTATGATTTCATTTATTTGTGGATGTGTATTATTGGCTGTTGGATTATTGTTGGGACTTTTAATTAATATTGGAGTGGTGGATGCGTTTTGTAACATGCAATTTGAGTTTACAAAACCACAAGGAAATAGTTCTGTGAGTGCTATGGATGTATTTGGAAAGATTAAGACACAGGCAGAAATTCCTCCGTACTATTTGACGTATGCTTTTAGTAATAATTACACGATTGGATGTTTTTACCGACCGAAAGTGTTTGGGGTAAGTGGTAAATTGGGTCTGTAATATTTAGGAACAATTTGTGATATATCATTGTCCACAAATGAATTAACAAATTATTGATGATTTTTATTGATTGAATACTTGAATGTAAAATTATGGAATGAATGAATAGGATGTTGCACAATTGAATTTCACAATTTTTGAGAGCAGCATGAACAAAATTATTGTCAATGCCTCATCTCACTCTGAGAAAGGTCAAGCTTTTGATTTTGGACAAAACTATTTAAATATCAAGTCACTCATGGATAAGACAGGTCTGGGCAATGATTATTTGCAGACCATTATCAGTGGTTGTCGGTAGGGTTGGACAAATTATTGCCTATGATGAATGTCACAAAAAATTCAACAGTAAACTGTTGTCAATTTCCAACATTATATGAACATACAATATATTTCCATGTTGAATCTTGGCAATTCTGTGGATATTTAAGTGGATTATCATAATAGATTGTTCAATCTTCTCGAGTTGATTCAAGATAATTCAAAATAATCTCTGAGCGAATACTACAGCATTAACCATGCGAAGGTTTTTTGATAATTTCTTGATTTTTTCACATAGTGATCATGTTAACGAATACAGTCCTATTCGGAGCTATAAATTGAACACTGGATGTTGTTCAATAAATCAAGATGGTATTCGCTGTATATTGTTGAGAATATCAACCAACCTGCCTTATCCATGTTTGGCAATGAAAACCCAAAGTTAAATTATTGGAATGCCATTTTCATCCTTATTTCAAACAAAGGAAACTATTGATCGAATTATCAAATCACAAAAGGCAACGGGAGAAGTGTTAGAAGTAGAGGTAAAATATTCTCAGAATTGACCAAATTCAAAACCTTTCCTTAAACTCATTTTCCATCACTAAGAAGAGAGAAGTATTAGCTTGTGCATAATTAAACAGTGGTCACATTCTTCAACCATTCACTATTAGCAATATGTTTGACACCTTCATTGCCAATTTCATTGCCACCCAAATCCAAGGAAGACAAGTTTTTCAACCATTCACTATCAGCAATATATTTTACGCCTTCACTGCCAATTTCATTATAAGCCAGATTCAAAGAAATCAAATTCTTCAAACATTCACTTGTAGCAATATATTTGACGCCTTCACTGTCAATTCTACCGCATGCCAGATCCAAAGAAATCAAATTCTTCAAACACTCACTCGTAGCAATATATTTGACACCTTCATTGTCAATTCTATTGTAACCCAGATTCAAAGAAGTCAAATTCTTCAACCATTCGCTCGTAGCAATACATTTAACACCTTCATTGTCAATTTCATTGCTACCCAGATCCAAAGAAGACAAGTTTTTTAACCATTCACTATCAGCAATATATTTGACACCTTCACTGCCAATTTCGTTGTATGTCAGATCTAAAGAAATCAAATTCTTCAACCATTCACTCGTAGCAATATATTTGACACCTTCGCTCTCAATTCTATTGTAACCCAGATTCAAAGAAGTCAAATTCTTCAACCATTCACTCATGGCAATATATTTGACACCTTCACTCTCGATTCTATTGTATGTCAGATCTAAATAAATCAAATTCTTCAACCATTCACTCGTAGCAATATATTTAACACCTTCATGGTCAATTCTATTGTTGCTAAGGCTTAAAGAAGTCAAATTCTTCATTGATTCACTTGCAGCAATATATTTGGCACTTTCGCTGCCAATTTCATTGTGTCTCAGATTTAAATAAATCAAGTTTTTCAACCATTCGCTCATAGTAATATATTTGACGCCTTCATTGTCAATTCTATTGTAAGCCAGATTCAAAGAAGTCAAATTCTTCAAACATTCGCTCGTAGCAATATATTTGACACCGTCATTGTCAATTCCATCGCATGCCAGATCTAAAGAAGTCAAGTTTTTCAACCATCCGCTCATGGCAATATATTTGACGCCTTCATTGCCAATTCTATTGCTACCTATACCCAAAGAAATTAAATTCTTCAACCATTCGCTCATAGCAATATATTTAACACCTTCACTGTCAATTCTATTGTAACCCAGATTCAAAGAAGACAAGTTTTTCAACCATTCGCTCATGGCAATATATTTGACACCTTCATTGTCAATTTCATTGCTACCAAGATCCAAAGAAATTAAATTCTTCAACCACTCACTCGTAGCAATATATTTAACATCTTCACGGCCAATTCCATTACTATCCAGATTCAAATAAGTCACATTCTTCAAACGTTCACAACTAGATAAAAGTAAAATTGATTCACGAACTTGTTTGAGGGGATTTTCTACGAATGACAATGATAGCGGAATTTGAAATGATACTTGTCTCCATTGTTTTGAAATTTTCATACAAACTTGAGTAATAAACATTGATTCAAGGAAATGAAGAATTTCAAAAATAATATCATCAATGAATGGTCCATTGATCTTGTTGGAATTTGTCGGAGAGGTATCATCCGTATCAATACAACAGGATGATGAATTTGTTGATTCAAACGTTTCAACAGATGGTAGGATTGTTCTGTGCATCATCCATCGGAGGATGAAGTATTTTTTTTTTAAAACTTGCAAAAAACGACAAGCCCAATCATCAGTGAGCACACAACGTTGCAGGCATAGGGCCATAAATATTGCCCACGATGAATTCCAACTGTTGTCAAGTTCCAAAACCATTTATTTCGAAACAGAACTCACAAAGCTGTCAAGATTGAAACCTTGATACTGTTGTTCTTGGTCGTATTCTTCCATATTCTCCAAGACTTGACCCAAACCAGACTTTTTCGTTGGCTTTTCTAATTGTGTACCAGAAGATGACACGTCTCCGCTTCCAGAAAAATTGAATAAATCCACTAATTGTTCAGTGTCCATCGAAGCTAGACTGCTGTTTTCAGAGTTGATCACACTCTTGGAAATGTTCAGTTTGAACTTTTGTAAGCCCATTATCTTTTCTTCGAGGGTGTTCTTTGTAATGAGTCTGTAAACATTCACAACCTTTTTTTGGCCAATTCTGTGAGCTCTATCCATAGCTTGTAAATCATTACTTGGGTTCCAATCGTGTTCTACAAAAATCACAGTGTCTGCTCCAGTGAGATTGAGTCCAAGACCTCCAATTTTCGTTGTCAACAAGAGTACATCAATGGTTGGATCGCTGTTGAATTTTTGAACAATTTCATGACGTTTCAAGGTCTCCACATCTCCATCCAACCTCATATAAGTGACCGATGGCATGTACTTGGCAAATAGCTCATTCTGAATAATGTCCAACATTTGTTTCATTTGACAGAAAATTAACACTCTGTGTTGATTCATACTTCCTGACTCTAATGCACTCGTGCTTCCTTCAGAAAGTCCAATTCCGCAATCATTTAACAGCTGTTTCAAAGAAAGTAACTTGGGTGATAAATTCACATCTGTCAATTCCATCCCTTGCTGCTTAATTTCTTGTGTCACGGATTGATACATGGGATGATCTGGCTCTAAAACCAAGCACGGATGGTTACAAAGCTTTCTCAAATATTTGAGTGCTTTGAAAACATGAGAATTTTCAGAAATGTCTTTTGGCTTCTTTTCCTCTTGTTGTCCTTGTAACTCTTGAGACACCTTTGACTTTTCCTTCTTTGCAAAATATTCATACATTTTGGATTGAATTGGTGAAAGTTCACAATAATAGTCCTGAATAATTTTCTCTGGAAGATCATGCAATACATCCTCTTTCACTCTTCTCAAGAGAAATGGTAAAACTTGTCTGTGTAAACTTTGTAAGGCAAGTGTTCCTGCAGCTTGTTCTTTTGAGTTTGCCTTTGCATCTCTACTTGATTGAATGGGTTTACTGTATTTTGCATTAAAGTCCTTCTCAGTACCAAGAAATCCAGGCATTAAAAAGTCGAATAGTGACCATAATTCTAACACATTGTTTTGAATTGGAGTACCAGATAAGATGAGTCTATGGTTGGCTTTGATTTGTTTGACAGCTTTGGTAATTTGAGTCTTTTTGTTTTTGATAATATGTCCTTCGTCTAAAATGCAATAATTCCAATTGTTTTGTGCAGCAACAATTTCCTTAATATCATTTCTCAACACATCATACGAAAGAATGACAATGTCATACTTGTGAAATTCAGCTCTCCAAGCTCTTCTTTGCGAAACAGAGCCAATATATTGTAGTGAGGTGAGATCTGGACAAAATTTGTTAATTTCATGGCCCCAATGACCCAACAAGGTTGGAGGACAAACCACCAATGAAGGTAAATGAACAAATTCAGGATTTCTCGTTTGCTGATATTGAATCTTTCTCATATGAATATCGCTGTTAATCATACATATGGTTTGTAAAGTCTTTCCAAGGCCCATATCGTCACAAAGAATGCCATGTAAATTGTATTTGTTCAAGAAGGCCAGCCATGAAACTCCATCTTTTTGATATTGTCTAAGTTCTGCATTAATCTTGATTGGAATGTCGAACGGTTCAACTTTGGTATTGTCCAAGAGTTGGTCAATAAATTTGTGTTCCTCTTCAAGTTGTTTCTCTAGGCCTTTGAGTGAAGTTGATGATTTTTCAAGAGGCAATAATTTGATTACAGTTCCGAAACAGTTGGAAGCAATCTCTCTTGTTACATCATCTTGGTCACTCATTCTTTTTAGTAAAGGAACGGCTAAGAATGCAACGGCTGGAAGCGATTTCATTTCAAGCCGAGAAAGGAAGGCATAGATAGTTAAAGCAGCTCCTCGTCTTGACGCTACATTGGTTGGATTGGCCAGTGATGGCAACAATTCTTGTACAAGGGCAAGAAGTGCATCGTGTTCAACATGGTAACAAATTTCAGAAATTGTCAAGGCTGAATGCTTTCTAATATCAATATCTGGATGAGTGACATAATTTCGTATGATTGCTTTCATTGCTTCAACAAGTAGATTATAAATTTTTGAGCTTACAGAAGGGACAATGGTTCTCAAAACATGAAGGGCATTCACAATCACTTTTTCTTCTGTCAACGTAGGTGTTATGTTTGGAACAGAAGGTACTACTTTTGGTGCTAAAGTGGATGGATGCACTTTCTGTAAAATAATATCAATAGATTGAACTCTCAAAGGCTCTAACTGATCAAAGAGTTGATCTTCAAATATCTTGGCGATTTCACACAAAGTCATGGCTGCTCCTCGTTGAGCAATTTGTAGTGGATCTTCTTTCGAAGAAAGACCATTAACTTGGGAGACTGCCTCCTTGATCTCACTGATTTCTTCTTCCTTAACAGCACCCTTCTTTTTTCTGCCCTTCTTTTGCTTCTCTGATTCCTCTTCCAGGGAAGGTTCTTTTTGATTCTCCTTCTCAAGAGCTTTATGAACAGCAAGCTGTTGAGGCATGGTCCTGCAAAGAGATTCTAACACCTTTTTCGTAATTGCTGAATTTGGAGATTTTGTAGTTGCAAAATCCTTGCAAATAAATAAAAGCTTGGCAAGAGATTTGCAAAAAAGCTGTTGCAAGGTAATGCTTGAACCTTGTGTCTCAATGGAAGGAAGTAAAATTACCATGAGAGGACTCAATAATTCCTTTCCTGCAGAAATGTCTCCATTGAAAATAATAGCACATGACAATATGGAGAGAGCTCGATTCTTGATGGTATTCCAGTTATTGACATAGGTGTCTGAAGCTGTCCTCACTCGATTCACAATACTATCAAGTTCTTGAAGCAATTGAGGATTATCGGCTAGATTTTGTGCATAATATTCGTAATATCTTGAGGTAAGATCTTGAGCAATAGATACTGACATGTTCAAAGAAGGCATTCCTTCTGCAGTCTGGGAGTAGAACGAGGAAACATCCAATCCAAATCGAGCATAGTAATGTAAAAGAATGTTGCACTCCGATACGAAACTGGTGAAATAGTTTTGAATTTCCACACTCGTGTATGTGTAAACAGTTGTTTGCACAATTTGAAGCAGTAACTGAAAGAGGGACTCTGGGATAGTCAGCTTCTTTCCTTGTTGTTCTGAATAATGGAACATGTTTTGCAACACCAATCCTGCAGTCTCTTTGTGAATGGACCAGCTTGATTTCAACAAGAAATCTAAAGTGTTCATCAATTCTGAGAGATGATTTGGGTCTTCCACTGAGGATGCAAATATAGCAATTGCCTTGGATGTTGCCATTCGAAATTGTGTAAATTCTTCCAAATCTGAAACTGACAATCTTATAGAAAATGTTTGTCCATCCATGCTTTCATCTTTCTCTGGTTTAGTCCCGTCAAGTTTTCGTTTGAGAGTATCATTGGACACTGAGGAGGACCATCGATTCTGAGTTAACATGTTATAAATTTCTTCTGGTAGTGTGAATAGAGTAATCTCAAAAGTGTGACCAATAGGAGTGGACATGAGGGAGCACCATGTACCAATGTACCTTGAAATGACAGGGCATAACCATTGTTGAGGGACCTTAGAAACTATGGCTTGCCACACGGTTAAAGTTTTCTCAACCACGCTTTCCTTAGAATCGAGAATGAGGTTTTGAAAAACGAGTGCAACAAGATGTGATAGAATGCTTCCTTTCGAAATCCAAGAGTTTGGAGCAATATTGGTGGCTTGAATCAACTCGAGTAGTGTTTCTAACGCTGAAATTCGCACCGAAACAATGTTATGACGCATATATGGATATAATCTAGGAACTAGGATGTGAAGCTTTTCCTCAAGAATGATTTTCGATTTTTGCGGTATCGAATATAGTTTGGCCAAAAGTGACATTACACTCGCCGTGGATGATGACAAGTCATCCATCTCTAGGAGTGAATTCCACAAAATGTTAAATATTCCAGTGACGTATTGAGTGTTCAGTTTCATGACATGTTCTGCTATGGGCACCAAACAATCAGCAGCTACAGCTTTCACATCTTCTGCCAAAATACTTGAAGATCCAGTTTCATCTGACAAACATTGAATCACTGCAGGAAGAACCATAGGGAACAGCTCATCAATTTCATGAGAACGAAGTGCAACTGCATATTTCATTCCTAGCAATGCATTGTGCCTGACTTTCCATTCATTGTGTGGTTCCATCAGAAGCACCAAATTGGAAACAATACTCTTAACAGCATTCGTGTTAATGTACTTGAAGATCAAACCTAGAATTTGTGCACAAGTTTCAGGAATTGGAGAAATGACTTGGTCGGAAAGGTAATCTGTGAATTTATCCAGTGCAAAAAGGCACAATATTCGAATACAGCAGTCTTCCAACCATCTAGCATTCACCACAGATAAATCCTCTGTACAAAATATCGACTTGCCAGCCGATTGAATTTGTTCAGGAACCTTTAAGATTTCCCTTAATCCAATGGCAGCACCATGACGAATCTCCCACGAAGAGTTAAACAAGTCAGCCAAGAGCTTGTCTGTCAAGTAGTGAAAAGGCCATCTCTCATATTCAATAATGTCACTCGTCATGTCGAGTGTGCTCTCAATCACGACCTTATTTTCAGCTTGTGGTTGTTCGGTCACAAGAGTTTTCACTTTTTTCGCTTGTCGACTCACATCATCCATAATTTCTTGCTGTTCTTCAGCAAAAGAGGCACTCGCTTGTTGCTGGTGTTGTTTCTTGATGTTTTGCTTTTGAATGAATTTTTCTCTTCGTTCTCGAGCACTTAGGGGTTCTTGATTTTCCGTGGTTTCAACTTCATCGGATGTTGATTGTTGTTGCTGTTGTTGTTGATAATCACTTGGAAAGATGAGAAGATGTTCTTTCTCCTCTGGTAAATAGCCTAGTCGACCATACACTTGTCGTTTGTGGAAAGCGAGTCTTTCTTTTGGTTTTAAATGTTTGAGTTTTTGTTCTTCATTCACAACGTTGGTTGCCGAGAGGGGCTCACCGTGTTGCAGCACATGACGAATGTCGAAGGAACGGAAGGAGAACTTTTCGTGTTGTAGTTGAGTTTCTTCCTGAGCTTTTTCTTGGTATCTTGGCGTGGAGAAGTAGGCGTTCTTCTTTTCTTCATCTTCTTCCTTCTTGACTTGAAATGATGGTGGTTGATTGGATGTGTCTGCTGCAGCGTATAAATAGGAGTCAAGAACACGATCCCGATTGTAGAGAGGAACGGTTTGAGCAATGGCAAAGATGGCTTCACCTGCTGCACTTCTCGTTTCCCAACTCGGCGAACGAAGTAACTGACCAACTTTAAACAACACGGAAGGAATTTCTGCTTGATGGTATTTGGTTGCTTCAGCAATCTGTTTGGCAGCAGCCGAACGAACGGCAAGAGATCCGCTGTCCAACAGATTGAGCAAACGATCCAAACGAGAAGTCATGGCGACAACAAGTGCTTGTTCGTTTGCTGTTGTTGTATGCACAACAATAAAAATGTTTTAGGTTTGTATGAAAAGTGTTCGTTTATTTTTTTTGCACCAACTTTCCTCACTAAATGAAACCTTGCTGGCAACGAGTTGAGTGAGGTTTACAAAGAAACACCCAATCAAAATCGTACAGCAACGCGTGTGATTGGACAAATAGGCGCCATAAGGACATTTTCATACGATTTTTATTTCTTGGAAGCCACACTCTTATTGAACCTAGGAACGATCGTTTGGCCATTTGTAGTGAACAAACGTTCTCCACCAATAACGACGTGTAATCAGAACGTGTTGGTTGTGTGCTATTAAAAAATGCAACAAAATGATCGAGCCTCATCCTCATCATCAAACAACCATAGAAAAAGTCTGAACAATTCCGATGACCATGGTCATCCTACCGATCGGTATCATCAAGGACAAGACTCAAATAAGAAAATCAATATGAAATCATATTCAAATATTCTCTCAAATTCCAATGAAGATGAGGAATTATTAAAACGAGTATTTAAAGTCATTGAAGAAAGTAAACAACAACAAGTTCAATCACGAGAGGCTTTGAATAAAATCATGTCGGAGAATGAGCATGCATTGGCAATACAAGTAGAAAATTTAACAGATATTCAAAATCAAGTGCAGGTGATTGAGAAGCGAGCAGTACAGCTGGGAAGAACCATTTCAAATACCTTTAAATTAGCGGAAGGAGTGAGCCATAAAGTTCGACAATTACATGCCATTCAAGAACGAGTACAACTTGCCATTGATGCAGTAGAGGCCAGTATCGGAATGAAGAGTTGTGTGGAAGGAGTTGAACAAGCTATTAAAGTTGGAGAATATGAGAAGGCAGTGGATTTTGTGAGCCGAGTTTTGCACATTAACAACGATTCACATCGAAGTAAACTGGTCCATCAATTAAGCCAATCGCAACATGGAGATCAACAAGAAAGCGAGGACGAACAGGAGCGACGAAATACTCTCTTTAAATCTTCGGAAAAGAAAATCAAAGAAATTGTAGTATTGAAGCTGAAAGAGGCTTTTAATGATGAAAATGAATCACAAATTAAGAGATTTTCAAAACTGTTTGCTCCTCTTTGTATAGAAGAAGAAGGTCTCGAGTTGTATACAGAGTATTTGACAGACAAGGCAAGACAAGAGCTTGATTCAGTGGTGCACGATGGGTTACAAAACATATCCGAGCTTCCCATAGAAATTAACACGATAGAAGATGACATGGAACGATACATGACAATTAGAAAACAACAACAGCAAGGATTAACAAGCTTTATCGACATTATTACTCAAACATTAGACGTCATAGTATCATACATTGAAGAGTATGAGGAGTTTGTGACACTTAATTTTGGTGGAGAAAAATGTACAATTTACCTCATCAATGCTCTTCAAAAAGTTTGTGACAAAATGATCAAAAAGATTCTCGATCATTACGAGACAAAACGAGAATTATCAGAGGTTCTCAAATTACTCTCCAAAAAGAACATGCCAACAAAAAAGATAGAAAGAGAACGAGCTACCTCTCCTGTACCTCGCTCTGATAGCCCAATCACAAGCAACAAGAAAATTACTCCAGATGATCCAAGAGTTTTGGATCTCATACTTGAAGAAATGGCTGACATATGCTCCAATATTGAAGTGTATAGACAATTTATTCTCTCCAAGTCGTATGCTATCAAAGTTGATAGTGCACACATCAACAACCCAAAGTATATTCTTACCAAGGATCCTATGACATACAGAAAGATTCAAGAAGTAATGAATTATTACATTCCCATTGATGAAGCTTTCATGAAACAGAGCTTTGTAAAGGCGCTTCAACTCGATGACACAAACGACAATCAAAGTGTATCAAAATCCAACGAAGACTTTTTTGAAAGTGATGAAGAGGAGCTCTCAAGCGATGAGGAGGATGACGAAACAACCAAATATTCCTCTGTAATTAACGATGTATTTTTCATTTTGAGAAAGAGCTTAAACAGGGCTATAGATTCTCAAAATATTTCTGTTATATGCGCAATATGTAATCATATCAATACCATTCTTTGCGGTGAATATTTTGAATTTACCAAAAAAGATTTACATTTCATTTCGCTGGAACACACCAACGATAAGGATCGTTTTGTAAAGATTTTGGTAAGTGTTAACGAACTGTTGTGATGGCATTTATAACTCTTATACCATTTATAACATGGAAAAATTATATACTCAATAATTTTCTGCTCTTACAATTTGTACAGAAATCTCTTAATAATATTCAAATATCAAGTGAATATATTTTAAAGTTAAAGAAAGAATTCGATAGGAATTATGAGGATCGACTGTTCAAGGAGCGTCGCGTCAATCTACCTCAGGAAATGTTTACAGCTGATAGAATGAAACTCAAGAGCTGTTCCTCAGATCTTGTGCAGAGCTCAATTTTCTTCTCTGAACAATTAAGAAAGTATACTAGAAAAGTGGTCAGCTCTCAAGAATATGCGTTAGGTATTGAGAGAGACATTGACTTTTTGCTGAACAGAGAGTTGAGTCAAAACCCACAGTTTTATATTTTAACGGAGAATCAATTTGCTTCTAAGGAACTCAACAACTCATTAACTCAGAAATTTATTGGTGATATGGATCGAGTACTGAATCTGTACAAGAAATATTTGACCAAGTTTAATTTTGAAGAACTTGTGGAGTTAGCCATTGACATTCTTTGCCATCGAATGGAGCACTTGATTTTGACGAGACGATTCAATTATTTCGGAGGCGTGCAAGTTGACAAAGATTTACGAGAATTTATGGAATATTTTGCAACAAAGACAGAACGACCAGTAAGAAGCAAATTTTCCAGGTTGACACATATTACATATTTATTGAAAATGACAGAAGTTGATGACCTTTTGGAAATCTGGGAATCGGCACAACATTGGGGCTTTTCAGTGAGCGAAATTAAGAATATTCTAGGGTTGCGAGTTGACTTTAGCATGGATCAAATCAATAACTTGTCAATCTAAAGTTTTGCTGATCGTTGTAAAATGGGTAGTGTGGAATTGTGTAACAATGTCGTTGTCAAGTGCTCATTATGCAGTGTTCATGGCTTGGGAAATATGAGAAAATTAACATCTTCTATTGCTGAATAAATTATTATCATCATCATGCGTGAAGAGTGATGATTAACGGAATCATTAATAGTGTTGTGGTCTTCGTCCTCGACCACCCCCTCCGCCCTGATGATGATGATGAGGTGGACCCATTCCTTGAGTATTTTGCCCTTCCATTGCAACTTGTCGCTCCGCATTGAGTTTCTCCATAAATTTTGCACCACCATCGTTTTCTGCTTCATTACTCCGAACATCAAACTTGGGATGAGAGAATTTACAGTTTGGTCCTTTTGCACAAAATCCAGCCAAATAATCTGGACAAGCAATCTTTCTAATATGTTTCAATCGACAATTTGGACCATGTTTGCAAAATCCCTTTTCGTACCATGGACAATTCTTGATCCTATCTTCGGGTTTTATATGCAAGAAAATACACTCTAGATTACTACATTCTCCGTACTCGGAAAAGAACCAACACTCTGGCATCTTACCAGCCTTGTATTGATGAAGAAATTCACAGCCATCTCCTTTTTTACATAAACCTCGGAGCCAGTGTTTGCAAACCACTTCCTTTTCCTTTGATGTCTGTCGTTGTATGTGTTTATACTGGCAATCTTTTCCTTTTCTACATTGTCCTTTGAGAAAGAATTTACACACATTTTGATCTTTGGCCATCTCCGCTTCATCGGCCATATCAATTTGTTTCTCGAAATTAAATTTGAGATCCAAACCGTCTTCTAATCGAATCATTTTTTTTAATTTTTTTATTTTTGATTTGTCATCATAAATTATTCAATCATGATTGTAGACACCTACATAAGAACCATAGTAGCACTGTTCGATTCGTTCTTGGTATAATTCAACACTGTATTCCAACACATATCCATTGCATTGAAGAGCTTTCATCACTAGTTCTGGATCTTTCTGCAACTCTTCACTTGCATACCATAATGCAAATCCATTATGTTTCACAGCTTCCAATATTACTTCTTTGTTTCGACAATAATGACAGAATCGAACTGCTCCAACATTTTGATACTTGATGGTTTGTAATATGAATTCCTTGTCTTCAATAAATTCTGTTGGTGCATAATCAAGAACATTGTCACATCCAAGTTTGAGAGCTTCTATTAGGAATTGTTTGTCGCTCAACAACGTTTTAGAAGCGAATTGAATGGTACCTTTCTGTTCTTTGATTGCTTTCATCACAATTTCTTCACAGCTTTTCATCTCATCGTTTGCAAATTGAAGAGCCCAACTATTTTCTTGTATTGCTGCCAACACAACTTCCCTATCACTCTTTAACTCGTCAGATGCATACCTGAGAGCACAGCCACTTTTTTTTACAGCTGATAAAACTATCTTTTTATCATTCTTCAAATCGTCTGATGCATACTGAAGTGCATGTCCATTCTGATTGACAGCAGATAACACAACTATTTTGTCTCTCTGCAATTCAGAAGAGATATATTGCAATGCATAACCGTCTTGAACAACAGCTATCAACGCAATTTCTCTATCATTCTTCAAATCAGGAGAAGCGAATTGAAGAGAAAAAGCAAGATTTCTCACTGAATTCGAAACAATATCTCTATCGTTTTTGAGCTCATCAGAAGCAAATTCAAGTAAAAATCCAAATTCTTGAACAACCTTAAGCATTATGTCTTTCTTTGAATAATCAAATGAGTCTATTTTTTCAATTTCTGGAAATATTAATGCAAGAGCTTTTGATATGAAACATGATCTTTGAGTAAATCGTTTGGTATCCATCGAAATGCCTTTCTATTTTGCTTAATTATGTCAAAAATTAGTTCTGTGTGGGCTTTCAAATAGCTTTCTTCTAAGTACACCAATACTTCATCGTTTTGTTTAACAGCAATTGATGCAATTTCTACTTTGAGCGTATTGGTGGCATGGAGTATAGCTCGTCCATTCTGTCGAACTGGCTTCTAACATAAATTCCTTGTCATTTCGAAGATCATCCGAAATATAGGTCAGTGCATATGGGTAGTGCTTTATAGCTGTTAATGCCACTTGTTGGTCGTTGAAAAACTTATTACTTGCAAATTCTAACTCGTATCCGCAATGTTGAACTACTGTCAATACAAATCTCTGTCTTCCTTTAAAG